ACCTCCATCATTATCTTTTTGTGAATGCAGTTACTGTTTACTGTACGATTCACTGTGAGGCCTAGTCAAATGCTGATGTGGTAGTCCCTTATTGATGTATCATGTGTTAATTAGTGCCACAAACCCTAAAATATTGTGCAAGTAGCGTCTTGGGTCTGGAACTTTGAAATTATGAGCAAATTACCTCCATTGTTTATATTTAGAAAGTTAACTATTACGTAGACCAAATTAGTCTTAACGTGGTTCGTTGCGATACCCATAACTTTGTGAAATGACATTTTTTGCCCCTTTTTATAATATTTTTCAAACAATTAGTATCTCATACTTCTGTGTACTCTATAACTATAATTTAGTCCTATTTTGAACAATATTTATTTATTCAATGGTGAAAACTTGAGATCCTATTTGAAAAGAAGCTTAAATATTAGAGGATTTTATAGATAATGGATGCAAAAGCTGATGATTTCATCAACAAATTTAAAACTCAAATTAATCAATTAATTAAAATCTTCTAATATTTAAACTTCTTTTCAAATGAGATCCCAAGTTTTTATCATTAAATAAATAAATATTATTCAAAATAAGACTAAATTAGAGTTATAGAATATACGAAAGTATGATATACCAATCATTTGAAAAACATTATAAACAAGGGATAAAAATGTTATTTTATAAAATTATAGGTCGTTTACTGTGGCCAACGATTCATTCATCACGATGAACCACATTGATACTAATTTTGTCTGCATAATAGTCAACATTTTATATATAAACAAAGGGTAATTTGCTAGCAGTTTTAAAGTTTAGGATTTAGGATGTTAATCAGGCAATAGTTTATAATGTATGGTGTTGACTAACAAGAGTTAAAGGGCAAAAAATTCCTTAAAACTTTTTATGAGGGCCCTGGGTATTCTAAACTTTTGTTTAGAGCAATATTGCTCTGAAACATTTAAAAATGGTGTGATTTTGCCCTTCCGTTAACATTGACTCACGTTTGACCATCAAAAGCATATGCTTGACACATGTCCTCTCCTCCCTCATTTGCATTATTGATCTTCATCCTCCTCTCATCTCTCCCTCCCTCGTCTATCTTCCCTCAAGCTCTCTCATCTCTCTCTCCTTTCTCCATCCCTATCTTAAGCTCGCTTGTCTCTCTCTCCTTCCTCATCCCTCTTTCAAGCTCTTTCATCTCTCTTTCACTCCTTGTCCTCTCCTCTGTTCTAGTTCTTTTTATACTACATGCAAGCTCCTTAAGTGTTGTTGTGCCTCCACCTACATCTTTATCCCTACTTATGCTTCGATGAGATTAAGAAGTTCACCAAGCTCTTTGACACCAGTAATGTTAGCAAGATCCTCTCCAAGGTCTTTGAGAACCAATGTAAGGCCATCATGAATTGCCTCACCTATGAGGCTGATACTTGCCTTAAGGACCTTGTATATAGATGTATTAGTGCCATTTCTCTTCTCCAAACCAAGATGCTTGAGCTCCAACACAACCTTACCCTTGCCTGCTGCCTGCCTTGCTCATTATTTATCCGCCACCACGTCGTTGCCCCCGACGCCTTCCTCTCTTTGCCTTGGCTTATTCTATAATAGTGACACCTATTAGTCAAAGGAAGGTTAACGATCAACTAGCATTGTGCAAATGGGTTATGGGTTAGCCTATAGGCCAGCCCAAGTGACTTAATAGTATTAAACTTAGTCTCAACTTTCTTAAGGTGGTAAAGGTTGGAGATTTGAGTTTGGGAAGGCTCTAAAAGATCTCTTTAATGGAATGAGAAATAACTCAAGTACTAACCTAAGTTAGCTTAGGCTCCATAAGGAATGTTGGAGCTCAGTCCAAAAGACCCCCAAAAAAGTGAGGAAGGATTGTTACACAAAACACATACAAATATTTTTTAAAAAAATCTAAAATTTATATACATATTTACGTATTCTAATAACTCTTTCTTTTTTATTTTGATCTTCATTCTTTATTTTAATGTAAACTAAAATGTGTGTGTTTTGTTTTTTATTTCATTAAAATACAATAAATTTACAAGCTATCCTTAAATTACCCTCTCACTCATAGACACTCAGTCCAGTTAAAGAATAATGATATAAATGTAGTTTTTTGATTCTTTCCAAAATACTTAATCTACCTCATTCTTATTACTCTAATTATTATTTCAATTATTTAGACAATAATTATTCCTTGAGTCTGAATCTGTACGTGTTCTTAGCTAATTAGCTAGGATTATTTTTATATTATATAAAATAAGCTCAACAATTCTTTTTGACTCATTCATTTATTAATCTTAACTAAGAGTTAGGCAATTAGCTATATCTATACACATATTTGCTTGATCTTAATTATTTTTATATTTCACACTTAGGGTTGGCAAATTTGGAGTTAAGAAATTCAGCAGCTAGCTTTGAATCATGTTCATAATAATTAATTAGATGAAAATAATTAATTCAACTTATAGAATTGATTTAGATCAAATGGTCCAAAAAAAAACAAAGTTAGGAGGCTTAATCCATGCTAAAGCAATCTCATGCATTGACAATTTTTTTTTATAAAAAAAGCAAACTAGCCCGATTAGCACACAAACTTTCATGGTTTAGGCCAACTTAACTCATTTTCTAAAATGAGATTATTTTGCCAAACCAACCCACAAAAAATTGCAGGTTAACGGGGTTGGCCCATTGGGTTGAGCTCATTTGCCTAGTTTTATAGTCAACTATTAATCCAATTTTATCCTAACAGGGCAATTTTACCTCACGATCATTATTTCCATTTCACATGATCAAATTATTATTTTCTTATTTTATGAAAATTTATTCGTCATTCTTCCTTCGCATAATTATTTCTTAAGTTATCATGAACTTGGACTACATTGTTAAAGCTTATTTAAATTTTCTAAAGTTAAAATCAGTAAATTTCTGTGAAATTTGTCTTTTGAAAAGAGAAAGTGAATATTTTATATTTTATAAAAAATAATAGAATGACAAAAAATATTAAAAAAGAAAACTCCACATAAATTCACATATATCAATTTAAAATAATTTAAATCCTATTAAAACGAAGTCAAATTGATTAGCGTGAACCCCTGATGGGTTTGTAAATAGATTGCCTGCCACGGGCCCATCTTGACTAAGAAAACAAGGGAAAATGACACAAAGGGCCCATGGTAGAAAATTTAAGCATATTTAAATGCCATTAGTTGAGAGAACTGTAGAAAATGACCAAAGTCTTTAGCTGAAGAAGATAAAACTTGTACAGGTAAAAATGTCTTTAAATTACACCAATAAAAATAAATGATGAGAGTTTCCTTGCAAATTATGAAATATGAGTTGTAAACATCCAAATATCTATCTTAGATAATTGCAACTAACAAATAAATAAAGTCCTGACAATGTATCATCTGTCTCTAACATGAAGAAACACGTGAATAATAACAAAATATTTACAAGTTTATTTACAAAGTTCCATGCAATGTAAAAGACTAACCATTTAATTTATGAATTATGTGTTTTATATTCATGTTACCATTGTTTTATACTGATGACTTTTTTGGCCACCAAATGATGACTATTTTAATCTCATATGTAAAATGAGACTGTATTTCCATTTTTAATAGCTTTTATTATGGATACATCGTGTTGCTGATTTTTTTTTTTTTTTAAGAAGCCGCTTGGTTTAACTAATCACAATTCCTAAAATTTCAAATTTTCGTGAAATATACCTTTTATAAAATGAACCTTTTAGGAAATTCATGACAACTTACTTGTTTAATATTATGCTTTTTGGGAAGCTGAAATTAATTTTCTGAATAAATATCGAACTTTCAATGTTAAAAACACGAATACCCTTATTTTTGGTTTAGATATATTTTGAAATATTAGCACAAAACCTTCGAAACATACAACTCTTTAAGATTTTATTTGAGAAATTACTTTTCAAGTTCTTTTTTGAGAATCAGGCTTCCAGGTTCTTACATTTTTTTTTTTTAAGTTAGATAGAAGGGAATCACTAATTATTGAGAAAGTTTTATTTCAGCTTAGTTACTAAGCGACAAAAAGTTTTACTTAATCACAATTGCTTAAGCAATATATATATATATATATATATTTTTGGTATGACTTGGTAAGTATTACCTTTTTAATGTAAAATGTCTCGAGTTGACGTAAGGGTTATCTTCTGAATATTTAATCGTTTGCGCCAACTAAGAGTAAAAGACAATTCTTTATTTGTATCAAGACATTCATTATTTATTTCCCATTTATAAAAATAGAATAAAATAATGAAAAACAAATAAAACCGACAGATTAATAATGCGTACATCTCTTACATTCCTATTTTTTATCACATTTCCAATCATTTAAAGAATTTTCGTTCTTAATTAATATTATCGCATAATATTTCTTACCAATATTAAACGCGATAAATTTTGTAAACAATGGTTTTTGTAATAACGGTAATAATTTAAAAAAACTTATTTTGCTGAGAAAACGGTAAAATAATATCAAACAGAATGCGAACCGTACATAAAAAAATAATAAAGTACAGATAGAGATTTATTCTCACGATCCTCTCTGTGCTTCCGCTCTCTCTTTCTGGGTGATATTTTTACCTCGGATCCTTCGATAATTTGCTCTGATCATTCATCGCCTCCGTCGATATCTTTCTCCGGTACATGATTTTTACATCGGATTTCAAGTTTTTTCCTTGCAAAATTTTGACCTTTTCGGGCTATCTAGGGTTAAAAACCTGTTATTTTGCTTGTCCCGTGAAAGAACAGAACTTGCATTCGCTGTTCTCGAGGATATCAACTATATGCGATGTGAATTTATTTTTTCCCCCTGGTCAATGATGTTAATTTCATATTCGACCCATTAATGACTTTTGTTTTATCTTTTTAAAATTTTATTAGATTTGGTTCCGGGTTCGTTCTTAGTTAAATTGATCTCTAAAACTTGGAAGTTGCGACCTTTTCATGATAGCGAGGTAAAGTTTTGATATGTTCTTGTATTGTTTTTGTGGTTGATTAACTTGGGATGATATGGGGGGTGTTTTTTTGTTTGTTAACAAATTATGAAAGAAAAAGGGTATTTTCATTTACACTTTGCTTTAATATTTGTCTGCATGCTCAATAAATCACGAGGATTCTGAAACTCATTCCCATAGTTAAGCTTCACATCTTTGAATATTTCAGTTATTATTTTTTGTTTATCTCAAACTTTGAAATATGCATGTTTTGTATATATTTTGGAAAATTTTGAGGCTTGACTACCAAAACAAGGAGGAAATTTTTGCTTATGTTTTTTTTGGAATGCTTATACAGCCTTATTTAGTGTATGATTATAGTGTAATTATGCTTGCCCAAACTTGAGATCTTCTGAATGATGAAGCTTCATCTTTTCAATGAAGTGTTAAGAATCTTACAGGATCTAATATTTTATATACTTGTGCTATTTTTTTTCTTTGCATTGCCAATGTAGTTTCTATCCTTAAATACGCCGGCTGAATTTTTTTTTGGGTGCCAAATGACTCAATGACCTTTTTTTTTTGCCATCAAATTTGTATGAAAGAAATTTTTGTCTAGTGGTTGATAACAATATGGTCATATATAATTTAAGTGACCCATTAGTTGTAGAAATATAAGAAAACAGAAAAATGAATATAAAAGTTCCTTTGCTACTGTTGGATGAATAAAATATCAGATGAGGCACTTAGCATCGTGATTAGCACCGGATTAACCTGCTTATGTGTTCGACAAAATGTTGCATGGTTGTGCAGATACCCTTAAATACAGCTCTTTCCCTTTTCCTTTACTGTCGTTCTTTCTTTATTTTATTTTATTTATCTATCTGTTTTTAGCTTCATTGAATTTACTTTGTGTTTGGCTTATAAAAGCCACAGTCCCCCCCTAGTTTTATGGATCAACTAACCAGCTGTAAAGGTATAATTTTTTTTTTGTCTTTAGATAAATGTTTAGTTGCTTAGTCTTAAAATTTATGAAAGTTCGACATTAAAGTTAAAATTTATGAAAGTTCGACATTAAAGTTGTTGTTTGATTTGCTCTTGGGATCGCCCAAATTTTCAGTCTTCTCATGGGTCAATGTGGGATTTGATCATATTGAAAGAGTATTGAACACTTTGACTGTTGGTTTAATCAAACTTCTTGTAGTCTGTCAGTTTGTACTAAAGAAAGATGAGGGAGGCTTTCAGAAATATTACAAAAGCACAAGGCCTTTCACGTGATGCATAATTTGCATGCGGGTAATGTGTTTAAGTATTCCATAAATGATAAGGGATCATAATTAATCATATGCCATTTTACCTCTCTAATAGTTCTGTATTATGTATGGATTTTTTTTTTGATTCAATTAATTATTAATTTTAATCTTTAGACAATTGGCCTTGTGTTTTACATCTTCAGATTCTCTAGTTCTCTGTTTTCCTTTGTCATCTTCCTTTTACCTCCTCTTTATTTAAATAAGTAATCCCTTTGGATGGACTGGTAGTATTATGTCAAATTTCTGATTTTATGAGTTAAATGGGCCAAGATATCTTCCTGAGTTACTAGGTAGCCTTTGACTGTAACTGATCTGCAGTTACTGAAAGATAAGACATAAGGCCAAGATAATGGGGACATTGACTCAACGTTATTTTTGTGTGCTTGACACCTTTTCTGTTGTTGAGATTTAAGAATGTGGGAGGGAGTTCTTCCATTTCACTGCTTCTTTTTTGATTCCTTCACTTGTTTGTTCTCATATGACTACACACAGTCTTTCTTGATGTGAGTTGGTGTAGTTTTCTTAAAAAGAAAAGAAAGAGGGCTAGGGAAGTGTGATGCAGCATAGTTTATAGTTGCAATATTTGTCTATTTGGTTTTTAATTGCATTTTTTAGTCTGATTGGTTTTCTTCACCTTGTAAAACGGAAATCAGCACATTTTGACAGCATAGATGAGATGACTGATTCAGATATGGATCGACAAAGGCATGGGAATTCTAATTCAGAACCTTCTATCCTTGCAAGCAGTGCCAACATTTTGCAGCCAAATATCCACACAATGGCAACAGCTTCAGGGAACGCAAGAAATCTTGATTCCCGCTATTTACCAGATGTCTATGACAATACCGTAATGTATAGAGGGACACAATACAATGGCATTCTAAATCAACACAATCTTGATATGGGTGTTGCAGCCATGACCAACTTGCGTTATTCTGGCATGAATCCTTCTAGTACTGGTGTATTACCTCTCCCTACTAGTCATGGAGCCTATGATCAGTTGCCAGCATCAAGCACATTTGCTGTGTCTGGAGTTTCTTCAGATAATTTTGGAAGGAGCAGCAGTTATGCAGATGACGTCAGAGCTTCTTTCAAAAGAAAAAATACAGAAACTGTTAGAGGAAATTTTCCACATTTTGATGCTTCAGCTAGTTCATCAGTTGTTCCCCCAAATGCAAGGCACTCTGATGGGATTACTATGATGGATGCTGCTTCCTTGCCCCTGCCTCAATTCCGAGGAAATAGCATCCCTTCACCCATGGAATTAGGGTCCAATGGTAGTTTGTGGAGGAGGTCGGGCGAGTCTGTTATGGTACATGAACATAGCCATTTCATTCAAGGTAATTATTTAGGGCACCCTTCCAGCCAGTTGCTCCTCCTTGGTTGGATCAACAGTTAAATAATTGTCACAGTGATGGGCATCCTACAACTTGGAATCAGTCTCTTCCAATGCCTTATATGCAAGGTAAAGATGCTAGTGCTCTTGCTCTTTTCAGTTTTCCATTTCTCCTCTGGAGCCTTATGACCATTTTTACTTGGAGCCTCAGTTACTAAGTTGTTATTTATTACATCTAAGAAGTATGAAGTTTCTGATGAAAATTGAAACTATTTTGGAATGTCTTGTTGTCGACGGTGTATTATTTTAGAGTTATACTGCAAAATCATAAAGTGAAGCATCAAAGCATGATGTCAAAATTTTCTTTGAAGACGCAATCTAGTCTGGGTTTGGTCTTTCTGACACTCCTTCTTATACTTCCCAGCACCTAATGTTAACGGAAGTTCATTAGAGAATGCAAATATGGGTTTGCAGAGATATCACGATACAGCTAGTAACATAAATGGCCTAAGGTTTGTTCTTCCTCCTGTCAACCACCACCATAATTATCATCATCCAGCAGTGCCAATGAGAGGATTCAGGGGCCACAATATCATTTTTCAACCTCCAGTAACTGCAGCTTCTTATAGAATTCCAACAAATCCTTTATGCAATGCTTTGATCCCTACACAGAATGGTTTTGAGATGGGTCCTAGGCATGTTAGCCTTGTGCCATCAGCAGGCCTCCAGGTTCGTCCTCATAGAGGATACATGAATGAGACAACAATTGGGCATCGAAATCTTCACCCTATGGGCTATCTCCAAGTTGATGTAGTAATATTCTCTTGCTCATATTCTTTTACTCTATATTTTGTCTTTATACCATCTTTTCACGAGTCGGCTATGTTGATTGTTTGTGCATGCAGGATGTTGCCATACTGGATGAAGTGGGATTGGTTGACCATCACAGAGACATGCGCTTGGACATAGAGGATATGTCTTATGAGGCAAGCAGTCAAAAGTCTACTAGCGTATTTCCTATTAATGTGGATTGTGGACAAACATAAAGCTTGTTATTATAAATACTGATCTTAGTGGGTTTTTCCTTTTCATAATTTACGCTTAATTTGACAACAGGAGCTTCTTGCATTGGGCGAGCGAATTGGCAATGTAAGCACTGGTTTATCAGAACAATCTATTTCAGCTTTAATGAAAACTAGAATTTATGCAACCTCCACTGCTATTAACCCGGAAGAGGAAGAAACTTCAGAGGATCAGGAAACTGATTCATGCATAATATGCCAGGTATGAGTTTAATTCGTTTGAATATGAAAACTAGTTCAGATTTTTGTGTCTTCAACATGAAAAGATGTAACATTTTCGCCCGTGACTAAAACACGTGTATATAATTTCACAGGATAAATATGAGAACAGACAGAAGGTAGGAATTCTTCAATGCGGTCATGAGTATCATGCAGATTGCTTGAAGAAATGGCTTCTTGTGAAAAATGTCTGCCCCATATGCAAATCAGAAGCATTGACTCCTGGAAAGGACAAAGGAGTATAGAAACCAATGAAGGCAAAATCTCTTCTTTTTCTTCTTCTAGCAATGCCCATCATCCCTTTTGGCAAATTTATTTTTGGACGGAGTCCATATTTTGTTGTGTAATTTTGTATATGTACTTGCACATATATAGATGGTTACGCTGCCCAACTCTTTTACTTGTTGGCTCCAGTGACATTGTATCTATAAATTGTACAGACTTTGTTGTGTGATGTATCTACTTCAGGTAATTATATTATTCCTTGACATTTTTTTTTTGTTCATTCTGGTAAAGCATGGTTGGAAGTCCCATGGCCATGTTCAGAATGAAGTTTACGTCTTTACTCTTAATGATAGTCTCTGATCTTAATTTATGTTCTCTTTCTTTCTGCGTTATAGCATTTGGCTTGATAGTGTTTTACTGCATCACCATCCTTCTAGAGTCGTTGATTGTAGAACCTATAGATGCTAAAATTTTGGGAAAGTGATAGACAGGACCTTAATTCATTTAGATCTTAAGTGTTAATTTCTAAAAATTTACAAATTTCACTTTTAATTTTGTAATTTTGTTATGATGAATTTTTAGTTTGTGTGTTAAAGTTTAACAAGAAAAATAAATTTATTTATTTTGTAATCATGTTAAAATTTGAAAAAATAAGTTATAAATTTATCACAATAAAATTATAAAATTGATAGAGGAATTTGTAAATTTTTAAAATGTGGTATGTGAGATTTAATTTGAATTAATTGATTTTTTTTTTTAAATTTATTTGTCATTCTTTTTAAAATTTATCTCATTTTTTATCATGCTGATTATTATTGTTGTACCTGCATCCACCATCCACATTAAGAACTTTAAAATAAGGCCTTTGAGCAGTTATTGAGGATTTAGCTTTAGCCTTCAAAGTTAGGTGAGCAATGGGAGTTCTTGTCACATAAAACAAGTATTTTGAGGTTTGAATATCAATTTTTATATATGTAGTAATTTAATTGAAAGATGTCTACTCATTACTTTCACTATTTGAAAAGAGATCTTTTTTATTGTCAGTAAAGTATAACTACATACCAAAAAAATTCTAACCTTTATGGAGAGTGCAAATTTTAATGGAAAAAATCTACTTTTTACTTCCATTTTCTTGAGAGAGTATCTTTAGAGAGAGGGAAGGGGGTTTACCAGAGGTTGATCTTTATTCTTTAGTCTTTACATTTAGCTGGAGATACTTTAGGTGTCTCATAAGAAAAAATTTAAAAATAATGTTGCAAGTGTAATCAGTATTGGTTCAGCACAGTTTAATTCATTTCAGTTGTTGGTAAATAGCAAAAAACATTTCCGTTCAATTCGACGTTAAGATTATCAAGAATTTTCATGAATGTACGATAAAATTATTACCTTTTTCATATAACAAGCTATTTCAGCAGTTAGCTGGGTTCTAATATAAAAAAATTATATATTTAACCTTACATGTTTAAAATACTTATTTTTAATTAAATCAAACACACACACACACACACCATTTATAAATTATTTAGTCTATAATAATTTTTGTTATTAATATTATTAACACATCAAAATTTATTTGTTTTAATTTAATTAGATAAAAATATATTAAATATATAAGATTTAGTGCCTAAGTCTTGCCTTCTAAAAAAATTACCCACACCATTTACTATTTATAAATAATATACCTATTATAAATTGTATTTTACTTTATTTACTATAAAAATTATAATATGCTTCCGTGTTAATAATTACATTTGGGGTAAAATTAATTACAAGGTAGAATATATCAAGTTTTTTTCGTTAACTACATCCATTTTGTTCATTTAAATATTATTCTGGCAATGAAAAATGACAATGTTAGTTATACCATGTCATCAAGCAGATAGAAGCAGATTCTGTATAAAGGAGCGTCTATATAAATGCTCCGTCTTTGATCCAATGAAGCTGCATTGCCTTCTAAACTCTCAAAGGAAACCTTTCAATAAACATTAGCAAATATAAAGAGAAATGTCTCCCTCCCATGCCCAGAAAGTTCAAGCTGCTCAAGCTTGGTCATCAAGAAGGGCATATTAATAAACTGAATAATCTATCATACACCTTCATAAACAAGAGTGGTTGTCAATTACAAAATTCAACTAAATCATAGATTCTTTCTAAACTAGTGCAACCGAGTACAGTAGAAACAAAGCAAGTACAAGGGGAATGTGTGCGTAGAAATACTTTTTCCAGTTAAACCTCCTATCAACCTCACACACTTAAGGAACCAAAAAATAAAAAACACAGAAAATGGTTCAGCGAAAAGTCCACCAGTAGCTAGGCAAAAAATTTGCAATTGGAGGGAAACAAACGAACAGATAACATGATTGGCCTCGGGGATAACCAGCCATTTTTAGACAGAGCAGCAGCCAACTTTCTTAACAGCAGAAACATCATCCTTGGACCCCATATTTATTGTTTGTCCTTTAGGCAATTCTATAGGGTCATTCGCAGCTTCAAGTGCTTTCCTACTGACCACTTGATATATTTGGGTTAAGACTTCAGTGAATGCATTCTCAACATTCATAGATTCAAGGGCAGATGTCTCCATAAAGAAAGTGTTTTCCTTTTCAGCGAAGGATTTGGCATCCTCAGTTGAAACCGCTCGCAGGTGACGCAGGTCTGCTTTGTTACCAACAAGCATTATTACAATATTGGAATCTGTGTGGTCTCTCAACTCCTTCAACCATCTCTCAACATTTTCAAATGTAACATGTCTGGTGACATCATAAACAAGTAAAGCACCAACAGCTCCTCGGTAATATGCGCTTGTGATTGCTCGATATCTAAAGCAATAATGATCAAGTAATGTTTCTTAGACTTAAAGGAATTCTCAAAGAACAGAATACCTCATATGTCTCAAAGTAACATTGCAGCATTTTGGGATCTGATCATCAGAAAGTAGGCATAATAACAAACAACTTTCAATAACCCTCAACATGTATGGCATAATGACAACTGATTTCACTTACATCAGTCTCCTACTCCCTTGTACTCTACCACATCAAAGTATGCATTTATTTATCATAGTAAGTAAGATTATTGGGAAGGCTGGAATAAGGCAAGGTAAGTTTCATATGAAAGGTACGGTATAAAAACCTGCACTTCATAGAAGCTTTGGTGAAACTCTCAAATATGATCACTGGAATAGGCATATATTTTCTCACTACAAAAGTTTATTAAAAAATTAGTAAAAATACATTCATAATCAGCTAGATAACATAAATTCAAGAATACATAGATTACATAAATTCACGCAGTCTAAGTCTACAATTTTTCTCAAGCCCATGAGAATATGAAAACATGCACAAAATTATCATGAAACCAATCATGCAGTCAAACGAGATTAATGTGCTTAGATTAATTGCTGGGCCATGCAATGACATGGAATGAATAAAGCTTGTAACAGGAGAACTAGTCCTGTTTACACAAGCCAAAGATAGTTGCAAGTATTGATATTGTATCTTTTAGCTAAGCCGCATTCAGCAGGATGAAAACGATAATAAGAATATGCATAGCGATACCCAAATATTGTCAATATTCCCATAACATGCCCCTCTGCTCTTCCTATTGTCACGATCACACAATTATGAGGTCTTTTCTTTGCATACAAGTCCTCAACCAAAGTAAGAATCCACTTACGTCTCTAAAATGAATTCCAGGCCTGTCTCAAACCTTAAAATGGAACTGACATTTTTAATTTTATATGAGTTTCAAGGCTCTCGATTTTATGTTCCAGAAGCAAATCTAGAAAATTCCACACCACCCAATGTTTTGTAGTCTTATCCATAACAGTAATGCACCATAATAGTCCCATAAATATCTAGCTGAACTATTGCCAAAGCTAAAGTAGGGGGAGCAAATGTATTGGACTCAAACAAACTTCACCCCAGTTCATCAAATTCAAATGCTCAGTCAAACCAGCTAAGTGGTATCACACATTTTCTGCATAAAGCCTGATACTTTGTCTAACTTCTGTAACCGTTTACACATCATTTGGAGAAATAGGAAAAGAAAAAAGGCTTTTACAGTGGCGAGGTGAGTAAAATAAAAAAGCAAACACTACTCAGGATACTACCATTTAAGTCATTCAATTGGTAATCAAGCCATTGGCAATTAAAATTCTATAGACCCACAGTACAAAATAAAACGAAGTGAAAAGGGGAAGAACCTTTCTTGTCCAGCGGTGTCCCAAATCTGGGCCTTAACGATCTTGTCGTCAACCCTTACACTCCGAGTAGCGAATTCAACCCCAATAGTGGACTTAGACTCGAGGTTGAACTCGTTTCGAGTGAATCGAGAAAGGAGGTTGGATTTGCCGACGCCTGAGTCTCCGATCAGGACCACTTTGAAGAGGTAGTCGTAGTCATCGTCAGCTCTGTAAGCCGCCATGATTCGTGTCGGATCGGGGAGGCTTCCAGGCAAGGTAGTGGGTCTGAGAATCGGATCAAAACGCGAAGCTCAAAAAGCATCGGCCACGCAAACACAGTAGCTAACTCACGCAAACCAGGAAGCAAGAGAGAAACGAATAAGAGTTCAAAAGGACCGGGAAGGGGGTAGAGAGAGAGAGAGAGAGAGAGAGAGAGAGAGTTGAAGATAGTCTCAATTTGGTCTTCCGGAAATTGATATCTGCGGTTGGTATTGGAAGTTCCGTGAAGCATGAAACGCTTTGCGCTTTCGTGGTCTCTTTCCTTCTTCTGATACTTTCTTTTGCGCTTTCTAATGCTTTAAACTTTGAACTTTAAACTGGGCTTACCTTTTGGGGGCCCATTATTTTCGGTAAAATGGGGACCATTTTCTTTCTCAACTAATTTTTGGTCGTTTATTTATTTTTAGGGTTAAATTATAATTTTTACCCCACAAGTATATCACCATGAATTCTTAAACAAAATGGTAGACCAAGTCAACCTATAATTTTTCATATTCAGAGCAACGTTATTTTTTTTTAGTATCAATGTAGGGTTAAAAAAAGGGTCTCCCAACTCACATTAACGGTTAAAATAAGGATATAATATTCCTGTACTTTAATTTAACATTGAATATGGAAATATTCTAATTCTAGCGCTTTTTCTTTTTTAGAACAGTGTAGAAAAAGTATTTTTACTCTTGAAAAAAAAAACGATCAAGCAAGGTAATCCATAATTTTTCAAAACTAGTGCAATGTTATCTTTTCTTAGTTGTCTATGTAGGGTGTAAAAAAATGAAGTCTCACAAATCACATCAACGGTTAAAGGAAGGATAAAACATTCTTGTACTTTGATTTAGCATTGAATAAAGAAATATTCTGCCTTTTCTTTTCTTTTCTTTTCTTTTCTTTTTTTTAAGAATAGTGTAGAAAGTCATTGGCAAATTTGCAATCCTTATCAAAAATTATTTTTTTTTTTTTTTTTTTTGCGGGGGGCTCCCAAGTCTCTCTACTCATAATACACGTCATGGATCAGCCTCATGATCACAAACTAAATGTGCTTAAAAGGAGAAATGAACCAAATTGTTAGATTCTTGGAGAGAAAATGCAATAAAGTGAGCAACTGGGGAAATAGGAGTTTGTTAATCATCAAACCAGTACACACGCAATTGTATAGACTTCCAAAAATATACTGTAACTGATAATTCATATAAGATTCATATAACATGAAACTACTTCCTCAAAAAATAATGTTGATAATGATACTAACAAAATATTTATTGTAGATTATTAATTTGAATTGGCATAAGTGGTAAGAACTCTTATTACTCAAATAAGTGGCTGGGGTTTATATTATAATCCTTATGTATGAAACAACTTAATTGAAATGGATTTATCATTTGTCTTCAGTATTCTAAAAGAGATAATTGATGCTGTAAACTCCTCAAATTAAAAAAATCTTCATTTTAAATAATAATTGTTTGTCTGTTAAATAAACATCTTATTTTACTCTTACTTTAATTTCTTTACGGTTTATAAAGCAAACAAGGAGAAATCGATCTCAAGAAACCAGAATAGCTCAACTAGAATGAATAATAATCAAAGGTCTTTGTTACCTTATTGCAGTGCTTTATGTTGGAAATAGCGCGTCACTGTCACAACTCAAATTGCTTATCACATTGCAGCATCTTTTGCTTCAAGTGCCGTTTGATGGTCTTTTTTTTTTAAATATATATATACATATATATTAGGTATTATTATAAATTATAAAATATACGTGTATCTCGTGCGCGCGTGTATTTCAATGTTCTTGGATGATAATTATCATCATTATCAATTAGACATAGCACATAAGATTGTAGGTATATGTAATAAGATAAGCGAAAAGTTGTATAAAAAAAAAAAAAGCGAAAAGTTGTCTGCATTTTTTTTTAAGTTGATGGGCATGCATAAATACCTACACGCGCGTTAATCTTATCAAAACACTTTTTTTCAGATGTCATCTAGCTTGATCAGACCAAAATGTATATTGGGACCCCACCATATCAAAACCTTAAAGATTCTATTTGTTTATATCTAAATTCTAAAGCAAATAAGATAACCCATTAGACTTGGCTTCTCCGTCGTCTTCTTTTCTTCTTTGAACTCAGCTTCTATGACAACATTCTTTGCTTTGTTCCAAACCGTTTGTTTTGCCAAATGCTAATAAACCATTTTCCCTCTCTGCATCGTTGCCTTGAAGATTTTAGAAGAAACACAATCATTAATTCTTATAATTTTGTCAGATTTTACTTTTAATTTTTATAGTTTTTTAATATTTTCAGTTATTATAACAACTTAAATACAAACATCATCCAATTTTGTTGAAATTATACATACTTAAAACACTGAAAAACTACAAAGAATTAAAAAAACCAAGAAAACTAGAAAGATTGATAATTATATTTTTCTCAAAAATTTTATTATGAAGCTAAAGAAAAATATGTTCCTGCAATCAATAAATGGTATTAAAGAAGTTTTAGGCTTGTTCTTTTATTGCCTATTTTTGTCTATTTTTCTATTCTATTGTTTCTTTTCAACTTTCAAGTCAAATTATACATCTTGTTAATTGCTTTTTTTAAGAAGTAAAATTATCAATAAACCAAACCACAATACACCTAAAAATCAAAATAAAAGGAAAAAACAAACCTAAGGAATCATGTTAATTACTTTTATTAAATTATATTGCTATATACTAACATAGTTGAGCCTAGCAAAACAATTTTTTTTATAACATTATGAATTAAAATTCAAATTCATATTAAAAGAGGTACTTATTTTTTGGCACCCAATCATGCCAAACATAAGATTACTTCTAATAAGAAGACACCTATTTGTAAAAATATATATATGTTGCTATGCACTTTTATGTCAAAATTTTTTATAAAATCCATATGAGTTGTGACTATGATTATCCAAAAAGCCTAACAAATCCTTCTCATCTTGTTTTTCTAAATGAGAATAAGACTTCACAACATAAGGGATCTCTCGACCATATATATACGATGCACATGCAGCTTTGTACGTGAGTAACTGCAAATCACCTGCAGCACAATAAAATGAGAGACAATAAATCAGAGCATATCTTATACAATCAATAAATTTGTGTGATGTTACATCGTATAATAAACTTAATAGAAATCTCAATTTATTAAACAGAGAAACGGTGATTTAAAGGTATTAGAAGAAATACCAGCTTGAATTTCTGATTCAAGATTCTTTGATCCAAAATGCCTTCTTTTCCACCACCTACATCGGACCCTCCAAGGCCTCGTTGTAAATATTGCTGGAGTTCTGCTTGGGAGAGATCCAAGGTGTTCTTTGCGCTCATCTTTGCTACCATTTAAGCATGAAGACATACAATCTTCTTCATTGCTAAATAATATAAAGAAACAAGAAGCAAACACCTTCCATGTGTTGTGATCAGAATCTGTAGCATCCAAGTGTAGAGCAATCATCTCAACTAGAGATTCAACGTCATAGTTCCCTGCAAGATATCAAGAGAAATCTATATATGTAACGTAACAGAGAAGGAAGGATGAAATAGAAAATTATGAAGGTTTATCAAGTATATAGGAAAGATAAATATGATGATTTATAGAAACCAAAGTACCATTTAGATGCATCTTCACAAGCTTTGCTAATGATTCATAACATGTTTGGTCCTTCTTTAATGCATCACCAAAACAGCGTCCAAGTAAGAGAGAATCGTTTGATTTCAACCGCTCCAAGAGGATAGCCTTCAACCTACGAATGTTTAAATTAGTGACAGTGTAAAAATGAGGGCATGCAAAAATATCTTGGGGGCATACAAGGTAGGCATTTCTCAACAACCATATAATTAGTATGTATGACTATCACTATGACTTCATCTTCTGCTGCCAACTTTAGAGAAAAGCCCAAGTCTCTGAACTCATAATACATCGCATCAGCCTTGTCATCACAAATTCAGTGTGATTATAAAAAAAAAAAAAAAACTAACCCATTCTGCTATGCAAAACAACTCTAGCCATGCATGATTAAGCAATAACCTAAGCACGGCAAAGAAATAAACTATAGAAGTATGCTATATATAGTCTGATAAAGCATTCCTTTCCTAAGGGAGTTTAGCCAAAGTTAATCACAGAATTTTGGTGTGAGTTTAAGCTTTACTCTTGCTGGTATTTTCATTTAAGATATAACATTCATCCATTCTATGTATTTGATAATCTAGGAGGCACATACCTAAATGGAAGAGCAGAGGCAGAAGTGCAGCACTGCTTCTCAAGTATTTTTAGTGCCTCATCAACTTGACCTCCAATCAGCAAAAGCTGGCAAAATAAAGACATATTAAAATGTGAAAGGACTGCTGGCATCCAAAATCACGTTAGATACAGAAACTCTGGTCATACAATTTGAACTTTTTTTGACCAAAATACAATTAGAACATTACGACACTCATGTAACATGTATATGCATATGATCATGGATGCTTTTTACCTGTATCAACGGTAGTAATGCTGCTAGTGCTGTGGGAGTTGAGTCGAGAGCTATTTGTAAATACTTCACTGCCTCTCTGTAATAGTCATTAAGCAGTTTGTTGTGGATGAAAATGAAATTCTCCAAACTGTTGTGGTCAGGTAAATGCAAGGGTAACAACCCCGAATCAAGTCCCTCTAAGAAAATGCAAAAGAACATCAGTAATGCAGTCAGAGGTGAACCAAAGGGTAACCACACTTAACCTGAATATGCTGAGTAATATGCGATTGAAACAGACTTATCAGAGGTTGATAAAATAAAGTAAAAGTATGATTGACCCTAATTTCCATCTGTATCTTCTCCTTCTTCTTTTGGGGGAGGGGGGTGTAAATTTTTTCAAGATAGAAAAGTTTGCATAGATTAAAAAAAAAATAAGAAGAAAGCAGGCTTTTTACTCGGAAAATATTAGGGAGAAAATCAAGATACAAATACACGAATACAAGTGCAACTTAGCCCATGTTGCTAGCATTGCCAACAGAAAATAGATTGTTCTCCAGTCAAAAGTTTTGATCGGCCAAAAATGGGTAAAGAAATTTTTGTTAAAATAAAATCGTACAACCAACATAAGAAGCACGTCCATACAATGAAACAAATTAAAGACTCAGACACAAATTTTAGTTAAGTTTCTCATCAGAGACATTGAAACTGTACTTCAGTAAACTCCCATTCTCTTTGTTCTGTTATCTATTCCCAAATCAGAAGCAGTATGAAAAGTCAAACAAGGATAGAACCAGAAATCTCCCCAATAACAACAAGCTTTATTCTATTAAGTGGAGTTAGCTACATGGATTGCACGACGCCATTGTACTCTATCATTAACTACATGGTCAATCAAATTCACAGACTACAGAAAAGTCCAGTGATGCTAATTTTGCAATCTCTACTGTTACATGGTACGCAGACACCCAACGTTTCCAATACACAAGTCAATGATGCGAGAGGAATCATAAACCTGAATGTAAAGAATCTTCATTCCATGGGCCTCAGATCCATTTTCATTTAAGGAAAAAAAAAACTGCTGAAAAAACACCCAGACCTAGTAATGTTACTGCTGAAAGCAAGACATTGCCAGCAAATCATAAGCTTTACTAATAAAGCCCTCAATTAAAATTGGCTAAAATGCATAGAATCTTTGACCTTCAGGCTGTATAAAAATAACTCCTCGTCCTTTAAAACTTGAAAAAGGATCCCCTAATACTTGGAATTATGAAAAAATAACCCCCTCCTGCTAATTAATTTGTTATTTCACAAACAGAAGAATGACATGTTAGAGAATTACATGACCTAACATTTACAGAACTTATCTACACATAATCCAAATTAAAAAGCATTATTTGCACAAAAAATAAAGTTTAGAAGGGTTCATTTAATCTGACTTGTCACTCTTACCTTAGTAAATTAATATATTTACTGATGGCAATTATGTGCACAAACTTGAGTTTACAGGATCCATTGTAGTTCTGAAGATTAGGAGTAATGTGCACATGACTCCAAATTAATGGAATTCTGTACATTTTAGCCCTTCAAATTCTTCATTGTCCTATCGCATGAAAAACTATAGGTTTTCCTCCCCATTGGAGGAAAACCACTATAAAATGACGACCTAACCAAACAAAGGTAAGCCCCCTAAAACAATTTGTAGCATAAAAAATATTGGAAGACAAATATAACAAGCTAACAAAAAAGGGAAAAGTCAAGAGAAAATGGATGAAAGGAATATATATTGAAATTGAAAATTTACCAAGAGCATATAAAGAAGAGGCATCTTGCATATGAAATCTATTATTTAAGCCAGAGTCTCTATTTTCTGCATCTTCTTCAGAATCCATGTAAAAACCTTGAGGCTGGAAGTTTGAAGGAGGTTTTTCTTTTTGAGGGTCATCATTGATCACCTTAGGAACACTCGTGTCTTGGTCAATGCCAGCATCCATAGATATTTTCTTATTGTTAAAGACGGATGAGTTTGAGTCGCATTTGTAAAAAGCCTCTCCTATGTGTGTTTCAACTGTATTATGCCACTCTGATTGTCCATGTTGATTGCTGAATTTGTCTCCCTCTATATATGAGGTCCGTGGGGAGTCAGTCTGGTCTAAATCTCTCCATTGGTACTCTTTCGGAATACCAGAATACCACAACTCATAGAATACCAAACCCATGATCATACTTGCCATAGGATCATGATCAGACCCATTTTCTTGTTTGAGGCTAAAAAAAAGGAGGAATAGCAAAAAAGTTGAGTTTGATGGTCTATTTTCAAAGAGAAACACATCATTAAAGAAGCACTTGCATTGACAATGAAAAGAAGAAATCTGAATTCTAGGACATTAATATATCATTCACCAGATAGCAGTGGCAACAAAGATATAGTAATGAAGTCGCTCAAAAAAGGAACATTTCCAATTTTGTTTGTTGGCCATAGAAACTACCAACTACGAGAAGTAATAAACAAACAGCCATTCTTTCTTCTTTTTCTTGTTTTTTAATAAGGGCTATTACCAATTAAAATTTCACCCTTCCATTCTAGCATCCCCATGGTTTGGTTAATACTATATATAATATGCCAAGCAGGCAGCACAAGAGCACGGGTCTGAGTTTTGAAAGACTCTAATCAAGAAAAGCATGCTAAAAGGCCCTCCTCCAATTTCCTGTCAAATAGCTTCTGAAATAAGCCCTTACTTTCCTTCTATACCTCACTAAAAGCCATTCATTTTGGGCATGCACAACTACTCACTATAGCATATGATTATTAAGAGTTATGTTGAAAAATTAAAGAAAGAAAGGCTCTAACCAAGGAAACTTGTTTATTGTAAACTAAAGAGTGTAATACCAATGTATATCTAATGGCATACTTGTCATAAATGGGAGTAAAAATAGACAAATTGATAATTATTAAAAACCTATAAATGTATTGTGGACAATTTGTTTCAAAGAATGTCATAAAACCTTCCACAGAAAAGGGAATGGCTTACACCCAGTAGACTAGATTATGAAACAATACTTTATGCCTACTTCATGTTCCTTTGCAAAAGCAAATGATTACACATTAACCCCAAAAATTTAAAAAGAAAAAAAGGATTAAGCACTAAAGAACAAAAATACATACCACAGAACAGCCTGGTATGCTTCCTCCATGTTGCCTTGCATAATTAAAAAAAATATGAACTCCAAATGAACTGCAAATCTGTTCTGCTCCGCAAGTAACTTTATATTAATAACTGAAGTCTCGGCAAACATCCTGACGTCATGAATGCAGACATAATACTCCTCCTCTGAAGTCATGAATTGATAAAAAACATGGAATCTTTCCTATCTATTATGGGCTCCAGAGGATAAGTTTCCTCCTCATGAATGGGATAGTAACAACTATGGCTAAAAAATGGACATACACTATACACCAAAAGAAAGCACGTGCACTCGAGAAGATCTACACTCCAATGATTCATACTATTGTTTGGTCTTTATTGTGTCTTTCCTAACAGCTACTCTCGCCCCAATCCATATTTCCCCATAATTTACTGCGATAATACGCTCATTAAAATAATAATTGTTTACACCACCAAGGCATCAAGAATAAGTCAAAACCAGATAGAATCCAGCAACATTGAAAACATTCAACAAAAAAGATAGTCATTTTGCAGCACTCAGGAAAAAGTAACATATGGACTATACCTCTACTGGCCAATCCTTCCTTGACCCATTCTTCCTCATCCAAACATCATAGATGTTCTTGATTCTTGTAGGATTGATAGGATTGTTTTCTGCATGTTTGAGAAACTCTAGTAAAACCTAGAGATGTAACAACATAAAACATGGTATTGAGAATCTAAATCTGGATCAGTCATAGAAAAATAAATCACAACATAATACTATGGTAGCATGATTATCAAGAGAGCACTAAATGGGTAACAAACATATTAAGCCACTTTAACAACCTTCTGAATAAGAAAGCTACATGTAAATTGTCCATTTTGCAGCAAGTTAGACTTCCGAGTCTGGCACTTTTATGTGCATGCCATCTTGTTAGCATACATTTTTAGAATATATTGCACCCCAACAGCAAAATAAGTTATTGAAAATTTGTTAACATTATGGTAAAAAAAAAAAAACTAAATTCTAAAGTAGGTACGTAAGCTTTAATATATATCTTTAAATATTCCAACCTCTTCTCCAGACGTTAACATGTCTAGGTAGGAATTTCCGCAGACAAAAATAACGAAGAACAAAAAATCCTTCCTTCAAAACAGTAACTTAAGGTTTAGATTGATAGTTGGCAAAAGCCCATCATCCCACAATAGCATATAAAATTCTCCATCCAGACATCAAGTTTGCACCAAAACAGTAAAGCATCTTTGGATGGCAGTAATGGAAGGAAAAGGACTGGAAGGAAATGTTTCATTGGAACCTATGCCTTGCTTGGGAGTATTTTATGATGGATGGAGGATAGATGATTTTTCACCAATCTTTCAAAAATCTTCAGAAGTCTTCCAAGGTACTAAACAGTGTATAAATTTAAGCTCCCTAGATCAAGAAATTTTAAGAGATAAATAAACCAGTAGATATTAAGATATCAACAAATCAAATTATCATAATACGGCATATAATAATAGAAAAAGGTGTCAAAACATACATCACTATTCACACTTATCAATTTCATCTTTTTTGGTTATGATGCAGTAAATTTAAACATGGTAAAGGAAAATTATTTAGCCATCCCTTTTCCTCTTCTCTCCCCCTCCTTTTCCAGCAGAAAGGATTACATGAGGGATTTTCACACACAAAAAAAAAATGGCCGGGAAATTTCCCAGAACCCAAAATCTTATTTCCCAATCCCAAATTTTAAAATTACCACAACAACGCCAGAAGACCAGAACAAAGTTTGTTCAAAACAAATGGTTTCATTGCTAATATATGATGGGCATGCAAAACTGGAGACAACTATTCCTCTAGAACATATAACAAAAATAAAGATCTAAAAGACATTAAAACTTTAGAAGGGAGGAAAAATAAACTCATACCCCAAACTTAAATTGATTCTCAAAGGGTGAATTTTCTTTAACCGTTGCCTGCAGATACACACTAAGGGCACCACTGGCTTCCACCCAGTTTTGTTGTTTGATGAGTCTCTGCAATATAGCGCGCAATCTGCACTGATTCTCTGTCCTCAATTTGTCAGGACACAGTCCTAGAACATAAGAAGGCTTCGTCAATGATAAGATTATTCTTTTGACAAGCTTCTCTTCTTTATCCATAGGGTCATCGTTAGCAACCCCCTTGGACTTCCTTTTCCGACCATGGATTTTTATACTGTCTCCAATCCCTGGTTCCTCAGCTTCCCTATCCCATGCATGAGACTCGATATCAGTATGAAGCTATTTATCATCAAGTACAATGTCATCACAACTTTACATTCTTAACTTTGTATATTTAATTTAATATCTGGTTTCCTAATTCACATCTCACTATCCCAATCACCGCTAACTTATCTGAACTTAAAATCTTAAAAATCTCTAATTCCCTCAATCTGATTTCAGCTTCGGCAGAGAACACGTTTCCGACACATAAAAACAACCAATCCAACTTCAAAACCCCTAAACATAGTTCTTTCCCGTGTAAATAAAAAGATTCCCTCCATTGCAAGAAAATCCCACTACTGCAGTGCAGTGTGTCACAAGCTCCACATTTCGATAATACCAATTGCATAAATCAGAAAAAAGTACTAGAGTTAGGGTGATAACACGATGAAATAAAAGGAGGAAAAAGTAAACCCATGTTCATGGCGTTTAGGGCTTGGAGTAAGATCAACGGGGATGACAGCGAGGTCGTCTGACTCTAGATGAATATCTCTGTTCACGAACTCTTCGACGGAAGAAGCCATCGTGGCAATGGGACGAACGGAAAAAGAACCGATGGTTTGATGGAATTGGCGGGAGAACTGAGAAGAGTAGCAGCTCCACCGCCAATATATGCTTCGATTGCCTTTTTCTATCGCACGAATGGCGAAAGCTCAAAACGCTCCGCCCCCGTTCAAGGAGGAAGCTGCTGAATTCGCTCACAGCCAGAGGGAGGTGAGGAAAGTGATTGGAAGGACGTCCTTGAAGCGTTGGAGGCTCTGTGGGATTGTGGCCGGAGGAAAGTCTTCTTCAAGCTTCCTCTTTTCGTCCTCGAACGAAAGATAAGTGAAGCACGCGACGGACGATGAGAAGAAAATAGAGTGTAGAAGCTCGAGCACAATAGAAGACGAGAAGCTTGAGAACGATGGAAGACCAGAAGCACACGAAGTAGAGGCTACGTGCAAGGAGAGGTGAGAAGCTTGAACACGAACGACGAGCACGGAGAATGCGAACAAAAGCGGCTACCACAGAGAATGTTGATGGCGAGCGCAGCGAGAACGTGAATAGGCGTCAGGAAACGAAGCGAGGTCCAGTCAAGTTTTCAAATCTGAAGAAGCAGGGACTGCGAGTGCCTGAGGGGCGCGCCGCATAGGGATTTTTTTTTTTGACTGACCGCGTAGAGATTTTCGATTCGGATTAGGTCAAAGGACCGGTTGACTAGGGACACCCAGTAATAATTAATAATTAATAATTATAATTAAAATATAAAGTTATAATATTTGATACCTCTTTAAATTCAACCTATAAAAAAATCTTATATTTTTAAATAAAAATATATATAAATATAATATATATGTACCTGGAAACAAGCTTGTTTAGTTAAGTAAGCCTGGTTAAACAGATCAGATGAAGCGTACAAACAAGATAAAATAACCAAAGTTCAAAAAAAAAAAAGGAAAAAAGAAAGAAGAAAAAAAACTAAGCATACAAACCAATGCACTAAAAAGCAAACAAAACAAAGCAACAACAACAAACCTGCAACGGTCTTAGTTTAAACCTGCAGAAACAAGACCAGAAGCATCACTGCGTCGTGTATTTTATTGGATCGATATTTCAGTCTTCATGTGTTTCATATACTGCCACCCATATAACACATTTTTTTAAAGAATTAATATGAAGTTAAGTGAGTAATTAATTTTTAAATTTTATTCTTTACTTGTTTATTATAATGATTAATTACAATAAATAAATTTTAAAATTTATATTTTTTTTATAATTTTAAGAATACAACTACATTTTCTTAATAAGTACAAAGCTGATTATGTTTGTTTTCTATTAAGGAACAAATATTGTATTTACTGTAATTAACGGTAATGATTTAAACATGTCTCTCAGACCTGATGAAGTAGCAAGTGCCTCAAGGCCAAAGGTGTTTCGTAATAGAAATGACAATGTTATACATCACTCCCTTTAAGTCAATTTATAAAATGAGGAGCAAAAGATTTTCTTTGTCGTATCTATAAATTATATTATTATATTTTTATCATGAGCTTTTCTTTTTATCTCATTAAACCTTGACAAGAAAAATATATTCTGTTAACACACACACACACATATATGTATATGTTATCATAAGCATATATATATATATATATATATATCAATGAGTTTAAAAAAATTTTCTCCCATTTATTAAATAATATGAGGTGAATAACCAAGACCAAATCCTCGTGGTTTGGGGCTGCCTCCGCTCTGTTAAAACTCTCACATGATGGGGATTTTGTTTTGCCCAATTCACTTGACCAGAGAAATAGACATGGCCTATCAAAAAAATATGGTGGCCCACTAAAAACACAATTCTTTTTTTGATAAACCCCTCTAAATACAACATGGAGATGAGAAAATGAGCCAATGAGTTCTCTTTGGGCTACTTACAAGTTACAAGACATCTAATGGGCCATGACCAGCCCAAATTGATCCCCTCACTGATTAATCCTATAACACATTCATAATCTCTCTCCTAATGTGGATTTTATAATAGTTGGACCTCGTTCGGTAATCTCAAGGGAATAAGAGTTCCATTGCAACACACAATCCCAGCATATTTTAATGTGTTCACGCGTCAAGTTCATTATTTTGTAATCTCATTATCTTCTTGACAAACTTGACACAAAATTAAGCACCACTAATCAAATATTAAGTAATAATAAGACAGGTTGGGATCACTTGTTTGTTCATGCCACGTGAAATTATGCTTTCTTCTTTATTCACTCCACACAAGTCCTCCACAAACGATCCTGTGTACGGTACCACATTATTCTCGGGATCACAAAATTAGAAGCAAAATTTTGTGCACTGTGTTTTATTTATATATCCATCCATTCCTTAATTCTTATTCTAATATAATAGTTCATGCAGGCCACATGCAATCACTTTATGTGCTATGGGATTATTATGGAATATTTAATTAATGTCCTTTTGCCCATTTGAGTTAATTATATACTATCTCTGTCCTAAATTATAAAATATTTTAGATAAAATTTCACATACCAATAAGCTTCATTAAACACATTTAACAATCTTATCTTTTAAAATAAAAATATAAAATTTTTAAAATACCCATCATTTAATATATTGAAAAAAAAGTGGTATAAATTAATTATAAATAGAAGAGTAATATTGAAATTAGCGCATTTAATGAAATCTTAATATACTCAAAGTGTCTTATATTTTAAAATAAAAAAACTTCTTTAAAAGTACCTTATAATTTGGGATGAAGAATAATAATTATGTATATGTATGTGTCAAATTAGATAGTGGGGGTAATTAATTTGATTGATTTGCTATACATTTCATTTTTGGTAGTTTTTGGATCTTTTTGTAAATAAAGCTCACCACTAAGGTCCCATGTGGTTGTTAGAAATGATAGAAATGGAATAGGTTAAAAAAATTAAAATAAACATGAATTAAATTGCATTTCCTTCTCATAGTAAAAGTAATAAAATTTAATATTATATATTATAAATGTGAGAATTATTATAACATTCAAAAATTTTATGAATTATGACTCCTGTAACACCTGAGAATTATTGTAACATCCACAACAAATTGTGGATGTTAAGGAAAAATAGCTGAGAAATAAGACAATTCGGCTCGTGAAAGTCATATGGAAAGGGATGACTTCTGATGATACTATATGGGAAATTGAAGAGAAGATGAAAAATCATTATCTTCACTTGTTTCAATGAGGTAAGATTTTACTAGCTTTGCTAGAATAAGTGAATTTTGGGAACAAAATTCCTAAAAAGAGAGGAGAGTTGTAATATCCTGAGTTTTTAAACTTAATTAGGATAATAAAGTAAGTTAAAGTGGTGTGTGGCCAAGGAGGTTCAATAATCATATTTGATTGTATTTTAGCCTTAATTATGAGTCCGGTATCAAGGCAGGCTACCCGAACATCAAAGGGAAAAGAAAAATGAAAAGTGATGTTGCTGTGCCATATGCTGCGACATAGAGATCATCCGCCGTGGCACACGGGCATTTCTAATACGAGGGAAGACCTTTCTATGTCATGCGTCGTGGCGCATTATGCATCCATTATGGCACATGGCCATTTTCTGAAGATATCAGTTTTGAAAATGAGACGGATAAAGAAAGAAGAGGAAAGAGAGAACAGAGAGACGCGCTAATACTCTGCTAGGGCACGACTTAGATGAGAATTGAGAAGGCTTGAAGCTCTAAATCATCCAAGATAAGATTTCTAAACTCTTTTCCTTATTTTCTCTTCCATTTTCTCAAGGATTTAAGTTAGGGTTTAGATGAGGATGATGATTTCAGTCCATATGAGATATAGGTCTGAATTTGTTGACTCAAATAAAATTAATGTGAATAGATTAGAGTATTTAAACTTAGGTATATTGAGTTTTGGTGTTTTGAGTTGTTGGGCACTATTAATGTCAAAAAATATCATTTATTATGAGTGGTTGGAAGATTGTGATGCCATTAATAGAGATTTAATGGCTCATTAATGTTATTAGAGACTAAAGGTAATTATTAAACCTAAAGGACAGGCTCAAATTCTTATAGAGTGAATGTTGGGCAATTTAGAAGTAGAAATTAAGGATTTAATGCTTGAGATGGAAATGTTGATGAAATTTAACTTGGTTAATTGTAGTATTTGACTCTTGGTCACTTATTAGATTGAAAATTCAAGCTTGGAAGCTAGTAGATTGAGGGGTGAACCTTTTTTTTTAATATGAACATGAAAAATACTCATTCAACAGAATGTGAAAACAATATAGGAGACAAAACAAACAAAAAGAAAAGCAAACCAACCACCCTTAATCAACTAATAGGTGGGATATCAAAAGTACTAAAGTTATTGGGTAATCTATGGCCCAGCTTAGCAAGGTAGTCAGCCATCCTATTATCATCCCTATATAAAAAGTTAAAGTTCACAGTCCAATTTCTACAAAGTATCAAAGTTATGGAATTGATAATACTTTGAAAGGGGTGATAACTATGGTTGTCCCTTGTGATTGTTGAGATCACCTCTGCATAATCATAAAAAACCTCCACATTTTTGTACCGTTTTTGCCAGCATAACTCAAGACCCTTAAAAATACCAAACAATTCAGCAATGGTAAGGGGAACATGTCCTAATTTTTTATTAAAACCCTAAATTCGAGTATTGTTTTTATCCTTCAAAACTCTTCCACATGAACTGCAGCCATTAGTCAAAGTAGACCTATCAACTTCAAGTCTAACTCCCTCTAACAAATGTTGATACAAAGCATTGCAACTACTACTCATGAGGAGTTGGGGCAGGTTATTTTTAAAACCTTGATCAGCTACAACTCTAAAGAGAGATATAGAAGGTTCCTCCATTGTCTATTCCTCTGGAGCCTAGAAAACTAAATTACAGTGACTCCTCCATATATCCCAACAGATATAAGCGAATAAAATATCCCAAAAAACCTTCTTAGTGAAAGAATTCCCTCCTTGATGTTTCATATTCCAACCGAGCCAATCCCACCTATTTAGGCCTTGGAAGGTCTCCACATAATCTGTATGAACAAGTTCCCTCCACTAGTGCTTAGTAAGGACTCACTGTATTCAACCCTTTTCATACTCGAAAAGCTGTTGTGTGAACTTTATCATGAGGGGTAAACCTTTGACCTCTCAAAGGTTTGAAGTAACTAGAGAAACTCTACTTTATGTAGTTATACATTAATTGATTGTCAATTAAATATTAAATGTAAATTGTGAATGTTACATGCATGGATTGATTTTCAATGCGAAAAGCATGTGTTAGTTTTAATGAGTGCGTGGAAAAATTAAATGTGCATAAAGTTATTGTGACTTAAAATGCAAATACCTAATTAAAATGTTTTTGAATATGAACATACATATGTCTTTAGAAAATTGAATGTGATATTTTGTGAGATAGATGCGTGTTGATGAGAAATGGATTTTAAAAAGATGGTGAGAATACACACTTAGATAGCACATAGGCGTGAGCCTTACGTGATTGTTGAGAAGATGAGTAAATGAAAATGAAAATATTAAAATAAGTGAGTATTGATTATGGCATGATCAGTAACAAAAGTTTACCTAGGGATTGGGA